AATTATAAAGTTGAATCTCAAAATAAATATATATTACAAATATAATTACAAATTAATGTTCATTATGCTTAGATTATATATAGAACAGTCTATTATATAATGTTTATAAGCATTGTTATGCTATATAAATTTTTTTGCAAGAAAATTGTCTTAATGTTATTAAGAAAACAAAGAAAAAATTTATAAATTATTTTAAGAATAAAGAAAGAATAATAACAGCAGACTAGAAAAATACTTTGTTTTATTATAGATCTGTGAAATTGCATATTAAAAATAATTTGTTTATATGAATTTGAAAGTTTTTTTTATTTCATTAATATTAAAATTTAAATAAAAAGTTGACTTGTTTTATTATTCTAGATTCATATATTTTTTATTAAAAAATAACTCAAATGTTTGCAATAATTTTTTTCAACCTGTAGAGTTAAATCAAAAATCAAATAATAGATTACTTCCAAAGTTATCTGCATAGTTATACAAAGCTAGTCAAATATTACATGCAGTTTCTAACAATATGAATAGCAAAATCTTTTCTTCAGAGCAAAAAAGAAAAATTATAAAGATCAAAAAAATTAAACATCAATTTATAGTAATTATTATATACATATAAGATTGTTTTTAAAAAAAGTTTAAGATTTTTTATCTGTATAAGATAAGCAAAAAGAAAATGTTCATTCATGTTCTAAAAAGAACAAAAGTTGATAGAACTTCTGAAACTATAATTCAAACTAATATTAATAATAGTAATAGATATATAGTTGATAATGTTATAAAAATAGAATTAATAATAAAAGATCCGAAAATATTAATAAAAAAAATAATGATAAAAATTACAATTAATATGAAACTAAAGGTAAAAATAAAAATAAAACAGTTGATTATTATCAATATTCTGTAAACATAAATTATAATAATAAAATGAAAATATTAGATTATAAATAGCAACTATCTATTGATGATTAAGGATAGAAAGTAATAGAGTAATTATGTAATACTGTATTTCTATAGTATAAAGATTTTTATTCAATTACTACATGACATATAGTTATACAAGTTGATCTCTAAAATGCATCAAGAATGTAACTCAATTTTAGAGAACATTTTGGACCTATCAAAAAGATAATTACTTTTCAGATTGTCAGCATAATGATTTTATTTCTGACATTATAAAATAAGTGTTACTATTAACCAACTTAAATTAGCTACAAATTTTCTAAATTTTATAATAAAAAATAAAAAATAAATTTTACTAACTCGAAATATAATTAGCTGCTATATATAAGGTCACCATTATGATAAGTCACCATTTATAATTTTCTTTTTAATATTATTCTAATTGATATTTACTAAAAATTTTTTATTCAAAACTAATTTATTAGTTAGATTTTAACAAGATATAAATAATCTATATCTTTTGATCATATCTTAATAAATTATTATTATAATTTATAAAAATAACAAATAGTTTATCTAATGCTTGAAATATAATTTATAATAACAATTTATACAAATTATAATTCATATTTCATAACTAATTTTGGTATAAGATAGGCTCATTGATTGAGAATAGAATAAACATTGTAATATTAATAAATCTTATGCTTAACCTTATTGAACTGCATTTTGGTTAAAAGAATTTTTTTAAGAGAACAGCATAAAATTTATAAAGTAGTACATGTATATAGTAATGACATTTAAAAAACTACTATTGTCATAGCGCAAAGTTATTTTAGCCTTTAATTGTAAAATTTTCAAAATTTGGGCGCTTTGGGTTCTTATTATATGTAATTTCCTTAAAACTAATATTAAATAAATTCAATATAATGTTATTAAAAAATCCGAATGATTTAAAAATTGATTATTCAAAGATAAGCGGATTTTGAAGTTATTATATAAGATCCAGAGCCCACAAAAAGACCTAAGGTCTTGGATCAAGACCGGGACCTGGTTTATTTTACAGAAATCAGTACCTTTGTGCCACGTATATTTGTAATAAAGACTAAAATAATCGTTATATAAAACTTTAAATTTATGCTATTGAATTTTGAATTGCTTATTCATCAATTTCTTGCATTATTAACAAGTTTGAGGGATGGCAAATTTTTTAAAACGTGGTCTTAAAAACATGTTTGATTTAAATTTGTTAAAAATGTTTACATTATGACGTAATTAGCGTAATTTATAATTAAATACACCATCTTTTTCTCAAAAAAATTTTCTCAGCTGACAACTAAATTTATTAATCGGATACGACACTTTCAATTTCAGAAAAATTTTTTATCTCAGACTTCGATGTTTTAAAAAAAACTTTTAATCCAATAAAATGTTTAAAAAACTGTTTAAACCGTTTTTTTACCATTCCTATGATATGCTAATATGCTTCGCTTGCGTAAAAATTTATGATTTTTACTAAGGTTACTTTGCGTAAAAGAATTGTCACCTTTAGCAGATTTCAAATACCATTCAAATGCCTCTTTTTCATTCTTGTTAGTACCTATCCCATTTTCGTAGCAGAATCCCAAATTTCTTTGTCCAAGAGAATTGCCATTTTCAGCAGATTTCAAATACCATTCAAACGCTTTTTTTTCATCCTTAGCTGTGCCAATGCCATTTTCGTAGCAAGATCCTAGATTATTTTGTCCAAGGGAATTACCATTTTCAGCAGATTTTAAATACCATTCAAATGCCATTTTTTCATTCTTTGTTGTGCCTATTCCATTTTCATAGCAGAATCCAAGGTTATTTAGACCAAGAGAATTACCATTTTCAGCAGATTTCAAATACCATTTAAATGCTGCTTCTTCATCCTTAACGGTTCCTATGCCATTTCGGTAGCAAAATCCAGTATTACATTGTCCGTCGGAGTTGCCACCTTCGGCAGATTTCAAATATAATTCAAATCCTTTTTTTTCATCCTTTGCCGTGCCTACGCCATTTTCATAGCAAACTCCAAGATTGTTTTGACCAAAAGTATCGCCACCTTCGGCAGATTTCAAATACCATTCAAATGCCTTTTTTTCATCCTTAATTGTGCCTATGCCTTCGTAATAACATCGACCAAGATTGTATTGTACGATAGAATTGTCAGATTCAGCCGATTTTAAAAGCCACTCAAATGCTTTTGTTTCATCTTTTATATTGCCTATGCCAATACCTTCGTAAAAGCAACGGCCAAGATTATATTGTGCAATTGAGTTGCCACCTTCAGCGGATCTTAAAAGCCATTCAAATACCTTTTCTTCATCCTTTATGGTACCTATACCACGTTGGTAGCAGAGTCCAAGGTTATTCTGTCCTTGAACATTACCACCTTCAGCAGATTTTAAGTACCATTCAAATGCCTTTTTTTCATCCTTAGTTGTACCTATTCCATTCTGATAACACATTCCAAGACTATTTTGAGCAAGAGAATTACCACCTTCAGCAGATTTCAGATACCATTCAAATGCAATTTTTTCATCTTCAGCTGTTCCTATGCCATCGTAGTAACAGCGACCAAGATTATATTGTGCGGTAGAATTTCCACCCTTTGCTGATTTCAAATACCATTCAAATGCTTTTTTTTCATCTTTGACTACGCCTATACCATCGTAATAGCATCGACCAAGATTGTATTGTGCGATACAATTTCCACCTTCGGCAGATTTCAAATACCATTCAAATGCCTTTTTTTCATCCTTGGATGTGCCTATGGCATTTTCATAGCAGAATCCAAGGTTATATTGTCCATCAGAATTGCCACCTTTAGCAGATTTCGAATGCCATTCAAATGCTTTTTTTTCATCCTTTATAATTCCTATACCATTTCTATAACAAAGTCCTAGACTATTTTGTCCTTGAAAATTTCCACCTTTAGCAGATTTCAAATACCATTCAAATGCTATTTTTTCATCCTTGACAGTACCTATTCCATATTGATAACATAGACCAAGGTTATTTTCACCTTGAGAATCGCCACCTTTAGCGGATTTCAAATACCATTCAAATGCTTTTTTTTCATCCTTGACAGTACCTATGCCATTTTCATAACAGAATCCTAAATTATTTTGTCCAAAAGAATTACCATTTTCAGCAGATTTTAAATACCATTCAAATGCCTTTTTTTCATCTTTAGTAATACCTATACCATTTTCGTAACAAAGTCCAAGACTACATTGTCCGTTAGAATTACCACCTTCAGCAGATTTTAAATAACATTCAAATGCCTTTTTTTCATTCTTAATAGTACCTATACCATAGTGAAAATATAATCCAAGATTATATTGTTTGTCAGAACTTTCATTTCTAACATTTTTTTTATTCAATTTAATATCAATCGCTTCGTTCATGACGACATTTAAGTTTTTTTAAAAAAACAACATATGTAAATAATTTATTATATTTTCCGAATTACATATTTATTTGATGATATTTGTAACGCCAAAAGTATTTTATAATGACATAGTCGTACTAATGTTTTGATTTTTAATGTTTTCTAATACCAATATGGCAACTGTATTGTAATACGAACTTATTAATGACTATTACAATGAGTGAAATCGATATACAATATCTACTATTATCATGATCACGAGTTAGTTCTAGTCACGGTATTGATGCTCTAAAAATGACATTTCTGCAATAAGGGTTACATTAGACATTAAAAGGATAGCAAGGCGAAAATGGCACTTATAAATCATACTAATTAAAGTATATATCAGAGTAACAAGGTTTCTAAGTAGAATAGCTATCCGTAATTCTAAAATTCTATCTATCCAAATAATTATCCGATACTACCCGGATATTAAATAATAATATAAAGTAATTATACTCGGTTTACTCGGTTAGACTTTGAAATTATATGATATTCGACTATAAATAATAAATAATCACTACCATTATTTTTATTATTAACGCTTTTATTAACATATATATATATATCTACCGCCAACACGCTCATATGTGATGAATGGATGACATATTCAATATGTAAAATTGAAATATTAAAATCGAAAGAAAACATGACATCAAAAACCCCCGATTTTCTAAAGTTGTTAAAAGAAATTTTATTTTCAAAAAAAAGTTGGACTATCATAGCATTTAGTGAAATGCAGCGTTTTATAGGGCTGGAGCATTACTTCTTAGGTTCTTAAATTGAAATTTTTTAAAATTTTAGCACTGAGATTAAGATTTTATATAGCATTTTTTATAAACTTGTATTAACGCATGTGTGAAAAGACATAAATTCAATTCAATAATTTATAAAAAAAAAACCAATCTCTGCTCTTCAGCTAACCTTTGCTGTAAACGCGCATTTTCCCTCAATTTTTGTAATCTATTATAAGAGAAAGCACCATTGAAAAGAAGATCAGAAAGAGCACAGATTCTTGATATAGCTATTAATTTAAGACCTATAGAAAATTCCTTATTACCAATGTCTAATCCTTGCGATTTGTGAATCGTAATTGCCCAAGTAAGGCACGGAAATTGCATACGAGAACAAATTCCTGATTTTCCTTCCCATGTATACAGTCAGACCCTCTATAGTCTCACTCATTATAAGCACACCATATAAAAAACCTCTTTATAAGCACATTTATTTAAAAATCAATTATATATAAACATATTAAAAAAACTTCTTTAGTCACACAAATTTAATATCTTTGGTTTTCATAACATGAAACTTTTAAACAGACCGGCCGGCTGGGAGGGTTTTTTTTAATTTCATATATAATTTTTTTTTAAAACCCCACCCAGTCATTAAAACATATAAAAAAAAATTTCTACAAGGTTTCAAATTTGACCCGACCGGGTTATGAAAACCAATTAATTAATTTTGCATGGCCTTATAAGTACGAAAATATTTATCCCGAGGGGTATGATTATAGAGAGGTTTGACTGTACTTAATTAGACAGATCGGTACCACTTGTAAACCATTTAGGTAGACAGTGTTGGGCTGTATAATTATCCATTTGAATCAATATTAATGTAAGTAATGTGGGTAGCACCTTTCAAATTCATATAAAAAACAATATTAGGAAAATTCTTTTTACAAGTTGGACAGAAATAGAATTTTAATAGATCACGATAGCTGGAATACAGGTGGTAGTGGCAAGACATTTAAATTCATAGTATATTGATAATTGTATTTCTTAAATATATAATTTAATATTACATACTTACCAATAATATTATTTCTACGTTTGCACCGACTTGTATTTTTGTTAGTTTGTTATCTCAATTACTTACTTATTCTTCAGGTATCATAAAAGTAGCTTTTTGTTCAGTGCATTTTAGAAGTCTTTAATAATCATATCTAGTGTTACGGCCTAAACCGAAACTTTCGGCCAGGCGAAACTTCCGAACCCTCCGAAACCTAGTTTCGCCCAGTTTCGGACGTTTCGGATTTGGGCGAAACCGAAACTCAAAATCCGAAACGTTTCGGACTTCGGTAAAGGGTTTAGGCCGTAACACTAATCATATCATTATAAAGTTTTTTATTTATTTATAGTTTGTAATTAATCATTATTAGTCAGAAATTTTTAATTAAATTCTTACGAGGTATACAAATCAAATTTATTATCATTATATGGTAGGAGCTGGACATTGCCTGAAATTAGTAGAGTGTGAAAAGGTCTTCCATTCCACTCTCCTCCGTTCCAGCCCAATTAATAAAAGAAATCAATGTATTCGGGTCTACAACAAAACATGCACTCTTTCGAATTGTCAAAATCACAGAACATAAATATACTTAACCAACTTAGTATCATCACCTAAAAACTTTCGCGTATGGCCAAATACAAGTCATGATCAGGTGTAATATAAAATAAAAACAAAATATACTCAAATTCTAACGCTTTTAGTAAATTTTTTTTTATATTAGTGATGCTAGAATTCTACACATTCAATAAACTATAAGGCTCTAAAATTCGTTATAAAAAAGTGGTAAGAAGTACGTTCGATTCTAGCTCTAAAATTCGGTATAGAAAATGTGATGATAAGTACATTCGATTCTATAACAATGAACTGTAAAGTACGTTTATTGATAGGTTTAAACATTCGTCTCTTGTATTTTTCTCATCTTTTTTTTACTTCGTTATATTGATTTGTGTAAACAAAAAAATTTTGTTTTTAGCAATGAGAAATTTCAAGATGTACATTACAAGATATTGTGTTCAGACATCATATAAAATTGCTACCATATGTTAGTTATCAGGTAGAATCAAAGTAAATGGATTTTTGTAGCATCTAACGTTAAAATAGCGCTATTCTCTAGCCAATAGCTAGAAACGCTAAGATGCGAATTTTGCTATTATCGCACTAACCATGTGTTATTACTTTAACTGATTGGTTAAATAATTATCAATAGTGAAGATAAATTTATAAGGTCAAATATAGAATAGGAAACTTATTGATAACTTTGATTAATAATCAATTGATTTGTAGAAAGGGTAGTTTGCAAAATAATGTAAAATTTGAAGTTCATTAAAAAAAGTAATCTATTTCTTCGCCATTTTTTTTTTTTGGACTTTTAGATTAGACAAAATTTGCGCATTAATTATTTTGTAAAAATTTGATATTTTTTATAGAAAATAAAAGTTGCATATTCATCATTTTGTAATATGCTAGAGGAAACGTCGATGTTACACTAATGATTTTTCACCCGGTGTGCAGCATATAAAAAAATCATTTTACAATACCAGATCATTCCGCTAGTATATGTTATGATTATAATCCCACACCATTTTTATTATAATAAAATGGTGTGGGATTATAATCATAACATGTACTAGTGGAATGATCTGGTATTGTAAAATGATTTTTTTATATGCTGCACACCGGGTGAAAAATCATTAGTGTAACATCGATGTTTCCTCCTGTTGCTAGCAAATGATCAGGACCCTGAAATATCTGCTAATGGGTAAGGTTTTACAAAAATTACCAACAATGGGGTACGTCTAAAGTCGCATATCGTAAATGTGTACAAAGTTGGTGGCGCAGATCTCCTGAACTAGATTTCAAGAATAAGTGTAATGTAACACGATCAGGAAGATTCAAAACAAACGTTCTTTCTCCCAAAAATTGCCCATATCTCAAAAACCGGCATAATAAACCGCCTTATATGCTCTAACAAGAAGGTTTTGTTGAACAATTTTACTATATAAATTATCCTCCTCTAGAAGTTACCTTTGATCCTAACCCTAACATTACCAAATTTTAAGAATTTAGTCTTTGCCACCAACCTTGTACACATTTATAATATGCTTAAAGTTTTCGTCATGGCATCATCACCAACAATCTAAAGGATTATTTGTTAGGTGATCCCTTAGAGTTGAATTTTCAGTGCATTCACCAAAATCATTTAAATTATTGGTTAGAAAGTCTTTTTTGTGAAACACTAATTCGATAGAAATTATTTAATAAATTAATGGAGTAAAAAAAAGTGCTAATATTATAGTTTATGTATAAATATGATTAAAAAGAATATGATTCTTGTGAAATTGTTTCTAAGCAAATGTAAGTTAATTTGGTTATTAAAAAAATAATTTTGAAATATTGTATATCGACACGTATATACAGCTGAAAAGGCATGTTCATCTTCAAAAGGCTAAAATTAAGTGAATACTTTAATTTTTTTATTAAAGTTTGTCGTAAATTCTCCGTGCCATGTTCTTTGATAAGATATCCCGTAAACGTAAAGTAATCTGATAACATGTCATTATGCCTGATTTAGAAATTTTTTAAATTGCTCTCTTTTTCCTATTTTTGGTAATCGAAGTAAAGTGATAAGCTGAAAATAAGATCGATTCAATGCGATCATTGGTTGCGAACCATTAGGTTAGTTATCTGACGGAAAAGTTAGTAACCACGCCGAAATGTAAAGAACAACAGAAAGAGTTAGTGACCATCGAAAAGACTTTTTGCTGACAAAATGAATATTCCTGGTACGTATTATACATATTATGAAGAAGTTGAATATAAAATTTTTATATCTTTATTAGTTATTTACTTAATGATTAGTATAATTTTAGTGTTTACTGATATTATTTTATTGTATCATTGTAATTATTGTTTTGTCAGAACTTTTGCAATTAATATAAGTTACTAATAATGCACAGCTTTTATTAGAAAATAAAATGTATCTATGGTGGTTTTGTATTTATCATATATTTTAGAGATTTTTATAAGTTTTGTATACAAAATTTTTGCATTTAGGGTAGAGTTTTGGAAGTGTTTTTGAGAACACTAAATATTTTTACATAGAACGTTCTGTACCGATTAATTAACCACTAAATATTTTTATGTAATCTATCCAAAAAAAAAATCAAGAAATCAGGCTAAATTGATAATATTTTCTTTAATAATAATATTTATTCCAAAAACCTACGTATATACTTCTGAACTTCTTTTTGTTAGCTATTGTCCTTGAATTTATGATACAGAATATTTATAGTTACAACGTACGTACAAAAGTTATACTAATGCTTAAAACTTTGATCAACTATACTGTTGATAACATGACCTAAAACCACCATATATAGTACTATCAAAAAAATTTCTCCATAATCGTTCTATGCGCTACGTAAGTACGTACATACTCGTACTTACGTATATCCCAGAAATAATGGTATGAAGTTGGGTTGTATAAAATGTTCGGAATACTAACATCATGAAAGATAACATTCTATATAGCAGTAACATAAGCGCAAATGAAATTAAGCTAACCAGAAGAAAAAAACTTAGAATATTATATCATTAGGAAATTAGATAGTTAAGAGATGACTAACGCTAATATTTTAGATGCTGTTGCTTTGATTAATTGGTCGTGCATCGTGTTATAAGAACATTTGCTTGACTAAGTATCTTCCGTTTTTCATCATTTTTCAAATCAATGCCTATAAGCGGAAATGCACAAATTTGCACAAACTCATCTTGACAATCATCGGGATCAAATGCACCCTCCATAAGATCAGGATTTACTCGATTATCACATTCAAACCAGACTGGCAAATCAGCTACTTGTTCTTGAGCTTTTAAGCCAAAAAAGAATATTCTAATAATGTCACGAGAAAGCTTTGTAGCCATGTCATTAAAAATCTTTTGTTTGCTAGAATCTCTTACAATTCGAAACTGGTTCATAGTTTTAATTAATTTTTCTTGAAGATAACTAATAAACGGATGTTCTATAATTCCTTTAGATGATACAATTGAAGTGAATCCACGATTGCCCAGAAGACTATAGATTTGTTGTCTAAGCATTATTGGTAACTTTTGAGTAATATTATCATTTTCTATACGAGATTTAACAAAACCATCCATATAATTTAACAGAGGTTCCGTGTTTTTAACGATTTTGTTTTCGAAGTCTGAACAGTCGGCGCTTGAAAAATATCGATCGATTTCTTTAATCATTGATTCAAGGATAAATCTCTGTAATGTGGCCTGAAGTAATGATTTGTAATGCCCGTCATCTACAATATTTGTACACTTATACAATTTTAAAAGTCTGTTTGCTTTATCTTTATTAATATGAAAATCTTTAGCGGGCTTAACAACAGAGAAGGTTTCAAGATTTTTTTTCAAAGCCTTAATGTCTTCTCTAAGTTGAGAAGAATTGTTGAAATCGTTGCTTAATCGAACATTTATCGTCCTACCTAATTCAGCTTGATACCTTGATGCCTCACGTGTTAAACGTTCAATAGTTTTTTGTGCCTCTATTTTATTTCTTTCGATTTGATTTTCGAATTCCTTATTCTTACATTGCATTTCATCTATCTGTTCTTCGAGTTCCTTATTCTTACGCTGCATTTCATCTATCTGTTCTTCGAGTTCTTTATTCTTACGTCGTGTTTCTTCGAGTTCTTTATTCTTACGTCGTGTTTCTTCGAGTTCCTTATTCTTACGTCGTATTTCTTCAAGTTCCTTATTCTTGCGTCGCATTTCATCTGTCTTTTCTTCGAGCTCTGTGTTTCTAGGTGGTAGCAAATTGGTAATTTCTTTTATTGTGTTATTTGCGTTCTCGTGTAGTATATTCATTATTTTATTAATTATCTCATTATCAAATGTATAAGTCTTTTCTTTCTGTGCTGACGGCAACAATTTTTGCGTTTGCATATTAGTGTCATCTTTGTAGCACATTTTTTGCGTTTGTATATTAATTGTATCGCCTTTATCGGGTTTATGGGTTTCTTCTTTCTTTGCTGACGATGCTGAGAGCTGAAACATCTTTAGCTAACAATTACACTCAAATAACTTCTAGTAAACGTCGTAAGCGTTTAACTTTCACAAATTGTAATTTGTTAACAAATGAGTTCAAGGAAGTATACCGTTTTACACTTTTGTTTTGGATTTTTATAAGTTTTTTTGCGGTTTATTAGAAGTTAATGCATTATTGAGTATTAACGAATTACCTTTAATAAGATTAGCGCCAGATTAAAGTTTTTTTTTTTATTCCAAATGTGAATTATCATTACTATAACTATTTTCACAAAATCATTTTGAGTGTAAATTGACTTTGACCAAATTCTAATTAATACCACTTGATGAATCAAAAAATCTATTAGACTTCAGCGAAGTAACAATAGTCTATAGGTTAGAGTTTAGTTTTAATCAAACAGATATTTTGATACAAGATTCTTGAATGCAAGTATAAATATCACAGGAAAAGATAAAAAAAAAAAAAAAGAGTTCATTAATCATAGGTTCATACAAGTAATAAAATACCATCAACATTATTATGTCAGGTCTTTTTTCGATAAATGACATTCGAGTAGTAATTTCCATAGGTAATTTGGCAGGGTTTTTTTTTGCTTTAACGTGATATTGGTCATAAATTAACTGTTAACTAATAACTGCTATCTCGTACCAATTCACTAGATTTTGGAACTACGTATTCTGTAAGGAAATTCTTGTTGATATGCTTTTATAAACCATGAAATTCTTAACTTGTTTCTATTAGGGTTTTACATATGCAAATATATTTGATAATGAAAGAAATGGTCAAAATGACGATATGAATTTCGATTACCATACCTATAATTTATGGGTAATGATAATTATTAAACTTTCTTTATTTATTAATTTTGCAATAGTTTAAGATTGATTAATTAGACATTTCATATGTATTTAGGCTGGAAATGCCTATGGAAAATTCAAAACTAACACAGTGCTTAGATATGATAGTGAATTCAAAGAAGTTTTAGCTTGGGGTGCACTAGGTTTGGCAAAGAATCCGGGTCGGAGAAGAAGCGAGAGTGTATCAAAGCCTGTAGAACTATTCAAACTTGCTTTGGGGAACTTACCTGAAGATCTAAAACCAGAACTTCCGCCAAAACTTCATCTACAAACAGAACAGAGACATAAAAGAGCTATTACTGACTATCTACAGAAAATGGGCATGTTGCTTCCTTTATTTAAACGTCATTCTATTACCAATTAGTCTATTAACATTAGATTTATTTTACAATTTATATTAATATTAGGAGAGGTAAAAATATTCGCGCAATTCTTATAGAAAATTGCATAACTTCTAATAACTCTTATGACAGGTGATTAAGGAAAGGGTCGCAAACCATTGGCCCGACATAAACTTTTCCGAAAATACCCGTTTGATTTTTACTATTCCTGCTGAATACTCTTATCAAGCAAAAAAAGTTATGCGCGAATGTGCTTTCAAAGCAAACCTGATTTCTAAAGTTGACTCGGATAGACTACAATTTACTACAGAACGTAAGGTTTGCTATATATGAATTATCCACTGTTTAGCACAGCTGTGAATCTAATATGTCATTATGCAGCCGAGGCCGCTGCTATATACTGCATAACGAAAAAGAGTTTAAGAGATAATTTTCTCAAGGATTCCGATAGTAAGTATTATTGCATTATGATTGATAGAATTTTAAACTTTTGTTCGATAATTTTTCATAAAATTCTTTTTTTTTATCAATAGCTTCTTTCTTAATTGTTGATTGTGGAGGTGGAACAGTTGATTTGACTACGCGTAAATTATTAAGCAATTGTGAGTTAGGTGAAGTTACAGGTATAATTTCGAATAATCAATTTGGCGACTTCAACTTGGATCAAAACCTTGTTTTAATTATAATACGGTGTTTTAACTTAATTAGAACGTTCCGGAGATTTCTGTGGATCCACTTTTATCGATAAAGAATTCTTGAAATTTCTTGGTAAAATTGTTGGCGATGGCGCGATAAAATTGCTCCGTGAAAAACATTATGGGTAAAGCGATTATAAATACATTTATTTTTATTATGATCTTATCTACCTTACCTTTGCATTTAACCTCTTTACACAGCGAAATGCAATATATGATTCAAGAATTTTGCAGTAACATTAAAATTCCATACACTGGAGATGACCAATTTACCTATGACTTTGATCTGGATGTAGAGTATAACTTTTTCATTTTCACTTACATATACATATACATACAGTATATATAATGCTATTTAACATTTAAAACACTGTATTGTTTAGAGAATCTGTCCAGTATTAAAGCAATATGTCTTAGGAGAGGCAAAAACATCTCTTGAAGAAAAAGAATGGATTGTTGAAATTAACAACAATGACGTCAAAGAAATGTTTGATCCTATCGTTGAAAGAATTATCCGACTTATAAAAGTACAACTTGAAAATTCTCATACATGTTCGGCAATATTTATGGTTGGAGGATTTAGTGGTAATCTTTTTTTTCAAGACAATTGATCTTTATTTTATTCGTAATTCATCTATGTATTTGATTACTCTCTAATTTTCTTTTTTTTAGAATCTAAATATTTGCAAAATAGAGTCCAAACAGAATTTCAAGACAAAGTTGCACATATCTTAGTACCCCCAGAACCTACTGCAGCAGTAGTTCGTGGTGCTGTTATATATGGTCTACGTATGAATCCGTCATTCTACAATATACAAGACCCTTCTATTAAACCAATCATTAAAAATCGTATTCTTAAATTTACATATGGTGTTGAAGTGGGTATGATTAGTAGATTTTCTACTTTAGCTAAAAGAGGGTAAGTACAAGATATAATATTTATTTACAATGGTTCATTAAATTTGCATCTTCTTATGCATATTTCAATATATAGAACAACCACCGAAGTTAATCAGAAATTCAATGGTACATTCGTTCCACTTTTTGCATATCAATCAGCTATGAAGTTTAGAATTTTTATAACTCAAAAACATGAAGTGGAATGTTGTCTTGAAGAAGGTGTTGAATTGCTTGGAGAATTGTTAGTTGATCTTCCAGACATAGATCTTGGTCTTGATAGAAAGGTCAAATTTTCACTATGTTTTGGTGAAGAGGAAATTAAGGCTTCTGCAGTAAATTCGACTAATGGGCAAAACTATCATACTGTCTTTAATTTAGATACAGAATCTTAGTTTTTATATAAACATATCGAATTAGTTATATATTTAATTTTTGTTTTATAGAATTTACCTAACTTATATAATTAGTTTCTCGAAGCATAAATGTATGTTCAGAATTACTTTGAACATATTAATAAATAGATTCTAATTAAAGAAATAATTTATAATTTAATAACTTTTGCAAATTAAAAAATTCTTTCAAAGAATTATATTATATGGAGTCTTTGCCTTGAAAATGATCTTACGGACTATGTTAATACAATTCAATAAACTTTTTTTTTTAATTTTGTAGAACTCACTAAGCTTTACAAAATAAAAATAAGTTTATTTAAATTGAACTACTGAATGGCTAGAAATTTTAATTATTTGAATTGGATTAATAGATGGCTAAAAATTTTAATTATTTTGGATTACTAGATGACTAGAAATTTTAATTTTTATTCATAAAATCTACATAGTCTTGTAAGGGCAAAGGTAATACCTTCTTATATCTATTTCCAATTTAATTCCTTAAAATAAGGCAGCTTTATTTATTATTTCATACATTTTTATATCTTTAAGCTATTTGTTAAATAATCATTATTACTAATTTTTCACTGAAAAGGAACATAGTAAAGGAACGTTCGATGTTACATGACTGATTCTTCACCCGGCGTGCAACTAGGGGTGGGTCGGTTACGGTTATGACCGGTCAATGACCGACTTCCCCAGCGTAACCATCAAAAACCCAGACACGTCATCTTTGTGGCTTATATCGCTGATTAATATATTCAAAATTACTATCAGCTACATAATATATATAGTAATTGTTATAATTGTTACTATTTTTTTTATGCTTAACGCAATTGATGATGCCACATAAATCACATATCCGGGGTTTTTTTTGTGGTTACGCTGTAGTAGTTTATCATACATACTCATACTAATACTGATTAAATATGCACATAGATCTGATTAAAACTTGGATGGATAGAAAAGTTTTGTCGCAAACCTAGCTAATAACTGAACAGTTATTGGACTGGTCATTTAACCAGTTATATGACCGGTTATATGACCGGTCAAATAACTGCGGTCGGTTGCACACCAGGTGAAGAATCAGTCGTGTAACATCGACGGTTCCTCCCATTACGTTCAACTTTAGGATAAAGATCATTTTCAACTTTATTATTAACTTTTACTTAAATTTTGTATAAAGGTTCTTCAGGAACTCAAGAATAAGTAACTAAAATTTTCATTTGATTTTTATTTTAATTTCGATGAAAGTTATAAATAAAAGACTTTTTGTAAATTTACTTATAAAATTTAAGTACGTCAATTAATTTGATCAATACATTGTAATTGTAAAGACATGTCTGCTAAGATCACAGACATCATAATATCGAATAATATGGACAACACTACTCAAATTTTATACAACGTGAAAGTTACATGAAAAGGTAGCGACCTTTGACTTTCTAAATATCTTCATATATGGTTTAAATCCCCTCTTAAAACGTTTTACATAAAATCTCAATAAAATCTTGGTTATAAATCCATCTTTTGTATTCTAATAAAAAAAATAACTCCTTGCAAAATTTAAATGACATATGTGACATATGTCGTGAATGAAGTCTAAAATTTTAAATATTTTCTTGATATTAAATTTTCAAAATTTTTGGGATATTTTTTTAATAGTTATGTTAGGATTTAGGCCATTTGAAGTTGATTCTTCGGTTAACGTCAACTTTTGAACTCGGGCGGGGGGGGGGGGGGGGGAACAAAAAAAAAAACATTAATCAAAAAAATTAAACAGGCCAATCAAAAGACAATTACTGGATGAGATATGATTGGATAACAATATCTCAATGCTGTGATTGGCTTGTTCGTTTTTGAAGGTGGTCGGAGGATGGCCAGGAGAGAGGGGGTGTCACGTTAACCGAAGAATCAACTTCTAATAGCCTTAGGGTTAACTTTTATAATAAAATGGTATATGTGGATTTTGGTAGTGTTTTTAAGCCGAGGGGTACTTAACTTCCAGCTTCAGCCGCGACATATTGAGCCTTTATACTACTCTAACATACTTTAAACACGCATGCTATTACTTGATCGAACCAAAAATCTCCAAGTCTATTTCGTCTAATAGGAACTGGTAGGAAAAATTGTAAACCTACATAAGTCTATCGTCATTGTTTGACCTATAACATCAAATGCTGGTTTCAATGTTTAATCCAAACTTAATCTTTCATTACCAAATTAACAATCCTGGTTGAGGAAAAATCAGTTAAAGCCTTAATCGATATATTTATTTGTAGGTACATATCAGCGGATTTGTGGAATTGGGCTTAAATCAGGGTCCTTGGATTTACTATATATAATATACAGCATAAATAATAACTGAAATTTTGGTGTATGGTTTACAATCGCATTGTTAAAATATTTAGACCTGAATTTAGGTCTAATTACGCAAAAATAGATTATAAATGTACTTTCATTTTATCTATATCACATTGTAACTCAAGTTATTTTCACTAAAAAAAATTCACACACACATCCCGATAAAGTTAGTTATAATACTGCCTGATTTTTAGGAATGATGTTCTTTCAGAAAAATGGCATCCAGAAAATCATATTGTACGATTGATTAATTAGCGTTAGGAATTGATAATCCTTAACGTTAATATGCAGACTATTGTTTCCGAATATGTAAGGTACCCCTCGGACCAAAATGAGCCATCACCACCAAATTTTCATATATATTTGTCTTATTGAAGTACTTAAGCATTCACGTTTTTTTAAAAAATTTAGTAACTTTAAATTATTTAAATTATATTTTTTTATAGTTAAAAATATGTCAGTTCCTGAAAACAGTGATAAAAGAGATCCTAGGTATGGAGAATGTTTAAATTGCAACCAATATAACACTACTTTAGCTTGGTGTCAAACATGTGACCCTCAGAAAACAACTCAAGGATGGACAAGTGGAAATAAGGAGATTGATGATTGTATTAAAGAATTTCAACTTAAAGCAATGATGTATGCTGCAGTTATTGAATGGATTCCTTTTAATAGATTAGAGAATATTAAAGAGACTAAGGATGGATATATAGCAACATTGATAGATGGCGTGCGAAACATTTCAAGCAAATGTGGAAAATACGAACAATCACGTATATCATCATGCAAAGTTGAGCTTAAAACATTGTCTAATTATCAAATTTCGTCAGATTTAGTAAAGGAAGTATGTAATCATTTTTACTGCCAGTCTTATAGGATATGGTTTTATTTTGACTATTTTAAATCTTTTATAGTTTAAAAAATGGGTTAAATTAGAACAAAAGGTTTATGATTAACACAGAACACAATTACAAATGAAAGCTTGTTGGTATTTGATAAATTTAAAAGAAATCACAATTACGGAATCTGTGCAATATGTAAACGACACAATACATCAATAGCATGGTGCCAATCTTGTGATCCACAGATGATAGATCAAAGATGGACAAGTGGCGAAAAGAATATCGATGAGTGCATTAGAAAATGTCAATTTGAAGCCACAAGATATGTGAATATTATCGAATGGATTCCTTTTGATAAACTAAACATCATTCAAAATTATGATGATGATGAATTTTCAGCTGTTTGGTTAGATGGAATGCGAATAATTTTAGTTGAAAATAGTGAAAAGAATGAATTCGTACGATCGCGTACATCACCTTGTGGAGTAACACTTAAAACACTACCTGGTTTTCAAGATACGTGAAGAGAAGTAAATAAAATCTTTTTTATTTTACTTGTTTTGTATATATTTCTCCTAGTCAATAATATATTTATTTTTTATAAGTAATTAGAAAATAGAGATATGAAAATATATGGACTAACTCAAAACAATGTATCAAAAGAATATATGTTAGTATATGATAAATTTAGTTCTAAAAGAAAAGCATGTTATGACAAATGTGCAATTTGCAACCAATATAACACCTCACACGGATGGTGTCAAGCATGTGAACCTCAGAAATCTGTTCAAGGATGGACAAGTGGAAATAAGAATGTTGATGATTGTATTAAAGAATTTCAATTTAATGCCACAAACTATTCAAACGTCATCGAATGGGTTCCCTTCAATAGATTTGATGATATTCAAAAAGTTGGTGATTACTCTTCGGCAACGTGGTTAGATGGTGTACGAATACCTAGAATTACATCTAGCCTTAAACCTATACGTCTACGTTCACATCCACGTATTGTGGCACTCAAGACGCTTCAAACATCGCCAGACTCCCAGGATCCATTAGTTTTTTTAAGAGAAGTAAGTTATTTCTATTTCATATTTCCATATACATATTGGTATTGTCATATTACTTGTGGATACTACAATATATGAAATAGTATATCACTGCAAAATGTGTGGAAATACCAAGCCCTGCACTATGTTAGCCTTACCACTAGTAAAAATTAAAAATTTGACGTGTCGAATGGTGCCATTTGATATGGCAAAATTTTAATTTTACCAGTGTCCTTTGAAATGATACCAGAACTATGTGTGCTTTTAGTGTTATACAGTATTAACAGTAAATGTTATATTTTTAAGTTTAAAAATCATGTACAATTAGATGGTAAACTTAAAGTATATGGATTAACTTGAAATGATAATGAATACATGTTGGTATTTGATGGATTTTATTCTAAAAGGGTTAAGAAAAATGGAAGTTGTTCAAATTGTAAACAATTTAATACCTCAAGATCATGGTGTCAAACATGTGATCCACTTAAAATAGCTCAAGGATGGACAAGTGGAAACGAAATTATTGATGATTACATTAGAGAGCATCAGCTTAAAGCCACAGAATATGATGTTATACCTTTCGATAGATTGGATAATATTCAAAAGGATGGTGAAGATTTCTCAGCAACTTGGCTAGATGGTCTACGAAAAACTGAACGACGGTCACGTACAATGGCAGCTACTGTTATCCTTAAAACGTTTTCTGGTTCACAAAATTCACTGGATTTCTTGAACTATGTATGTTAAA